GGTGGAGGGGCCCAATGGGGGGTATCTAATATTTTCAACAATAAAGATAAATTTTTTAAAAAAACATGAATATTGTATGGGTTTACAATATCTAGTACTTAAGTTTTTGGTAAAATTAATGAAACAATTTCTCCTAAATTATTTGAGAAAATATAAAACACCAAATTACCTTCAATGTATTCCTTTTACTTGAAGATGTACCCTAGCTTATTCTGATACAGCCGAATTCACAGATGAATAGATCAGGTATAGAGCAGTGCGTAAGTTTGTTGCCTAGATAAGGTTTGGTAATCAATATTTCTTACTTATACTCTGCCTTTCTCTCATAGGACTTTCCCTCGGGAGCCATATAAAGAAGAGGCAAAATCTTTAAGTGAAAGTTGTCATAAATTCTGCCCTTCCGCTACAATGTACCACGATTCAGAACATCTCAACATGAGCCAACATGTCCATTTCTAACACAGGTTTTCGCCTAACACCCATGACTATAAGATAAAGAAAGACACAAAAACTTATCTCTGGTTTATAGTGCCTTTGTGTCTTTGGTACACTCACATTTTTTTTATATCCAGGGCAATGTATTATGATTTGGGATGGGTGAGAGATATGCATTTCTTTTATAAACTGAAAGAAGGGTATGTGGGAAGGAGTAGGTGGAAAAGGAGAACCTGATGGTCTTGTGATAGATGATTATTTATAATCAGTACTATCACAAAGTCAGTTGTCATGACATTCCAGCTGTTACTAACAAAATATTTAGAGCGACATTTTAAGAAACACAAATAATCATCAATTAGAAGGCTTTGATACGGTTGCTAAGGACAGCAAGTTTAGTCAAAGGTCACATCACGAAACTTCAAAATGAAATGAAATTCCAGACGCAGAGATGGAGTTTTTTCATATCTACACCTATACTTTCAGATGCTCCAGGTCCTATTCAAAGCTGGCAGCTTTCAGTATTACCTGGTATGGGCCAAAGAAGGATCCTTAGACATGGAATATTCTGCTTACAGAATCTAAACAGGCCCACCAAGTGTGCTTTCTTTTAGGTAGAAGGTTCAGGACACAAAAATACAGTTTTGAGGTAAGGTCTTGACTACTGGACTTAAAACTTAGGGATGTGGCATCCCCTGACTCAGAGTTTATCTCCCACCTTCTGGAGCACCACTCCTCCAATGTGTCGGCCACATCTTGTTCATCTGGCCTAATTAACATAATGTCACCAATGTAATGGATTAATATGAAGTTCTGCAGGATGACAAAGGTGAGAATGAGTTAGCTCTGGGGCCAGACTATATTGTATGTTGTACATTCCATATGAATATAAATGTGTTTGTGATTCAGGTAGAAAACGCAAATCACTGGTCAAATACCTAATTTTCTCTAGTAAAGCTACCACACCTGGCATGGCAGCTTACGACTGTGGCTACTACTTAGTTGAGCTTGCAGTCATCTCCAGAATCCATCTAAGCTTCTGCAGGGACCAGGCTGCTTAACTGAATAGAGACATTATGGGGACCACTTCCATCCTTTAGATTTGTACCATCCAGTATGGTAGCCACTAGCCATATGTGGCTATTTAAATTCAAATAAAATTAAAAAGTCAGCTCCTCAGTCATACTAGCCATATTTCAAGTGCTCAATAACCACATGTGGCTTGTATGTTTCCAGTACTGGATGGGATAAAAATAAAGAGGAGTGAACGCTTAAATATATAGGGACAAGTGCCAGGGAGAGGGTACCCTGCCCCTGTAGGAAAATTTGAGGCCTGGGCATCTATCTGGAGACACTATGAGGTAGTGCCAGGCCTTGATCAGACCCAGCACTAAGACTTGGGAACAGGCAGATAGGTGTCAATTTGGGAGACCTCCAAGAATGTATTCCTGGCACAGTTATATGCCAGGAATAAGGGTAGACAAGTGCAAATTGTTCAATTAAATTAATTTAATCAAATCAATTAAGCAATAAAATATATATGAGGGGGAAAAACACCTGTGACAAAGATTACAAGTGTAGGAAAATTGAGAGAAAGCATAAAAGGAAAGTGGGGGAGGAGGAAGCACTTCATGGTGCTTTAGCTTCACCCCAGGTCATTAGTGCTCTGTCTATATCCATGTATCCCTCTGATCTTCTGTCCTAGGGGGCCCTTTCCCTAGAATTCTCCGCCTTGTGATGGTGGCAGAGCTCTCTCCTCTGAGTGTGTGTCACTTCCTGCTTTAATACCCAGTTCCTCAGGCTAGAGACTTCTCTAGACAGACCTGTCCCTCTACACAGCGTCTTTGGGCATCTTTTCCTATGGGACTCATTCCCTGCAATTCTCATTTCTCTGGTCCACAAGACAAAACATTCTGTGCAATTAAGGAAACTTCTTTTATATATGACCATGTCCTTTAATAAAAATGTTGGAGTTGTTGGACTTCTATTGAGATGATAATGATTGTACTTTTTTCTGAAGGTGAGGGGGAGAGGGCATTCCCATTGTCCACAGATCAGGAAAGCAATGGGCTCAGGTGCTCTTCCATCTACTTCAAGTCCTAAGTTCCTTGAAGGTACGTCCAGGTGGTGGGTATTAAAGGTGAGCCCTACCAAGTGGAGCCAGACCAGAGGCTAGGCAGGGATGTGTCCTTGTTTGGCAAAAAAACTACATTTTTTTAAACCAAATAACCTAGAATTATGTTGCTACGTTTGTTAATACCCTTTTGGGGTTTTTCTAAGCTTTAGTAAAGTCATATTCATATATTTGTTTTATCTCAGCTGTGTTGTGGAGTAGCAAGGAAACATTTTGTCTCCAAAATAGAGCCCAAGTGGGAGAGCAGTGTATCTTTTAATTTTATTATTGATTTGAGAGAGAGAGGAAGGGAGAGGGGAAAGAGTGAGAGAAACATCAAGGTAAGATCCATGGCCTCCGTACACACCCGACCCGGAGACTGAGCCCACAAGCTAGGTATGTGCCCTTACTGGGAACAGAACCAGTCACCTTCCGGTGGCATAGGATGCCTCTCCAACCACCTGAGCCACACTGGCCAGGGTGAGAGCAGTGTATCTTTTTTTTTTGGCAAGAGAACATTTATTTGGTAAAATTACAGAGGTGGAAGAAGTAATTTCTAGAAGAAATGGGCTTAGGAAACAAGTTCTAGAGGCAAAGCAAGGGCTCTTGGGGCTTGAGAGTGAGGAAGCTAATGCTAACATGCCTGGGGCATGAAGGGGCGGAGAGAAAGGAAAGGCAAAGGCAAAGAAAAAGCGAGGGCAACTCCCGGGAGGGAGAGCCTGGATCCTCCATCCTAATGGTTTTAAGCATGGAGACCTTAGGGGAGGTCCCAGGGAAAGATCTCGTCGTAATGCAGCAGCTTTCCAGGTGCGTCCTTTCAGGGCCGTGGTCTCCGCTGACTGGTCGGCACCAGGGTCATTATCCACTGCAGCTGGTTCTGAGATCAGCCGAGGCTGGTTTTGCTGCTGTTCTGGGCCTGGAGCTGAAACACAACTGAGGCCTACATGCTCTCTTGAGGGAGGAAAGGTCAGGGGCTCCAAACCGCATGACCAACAATATGCTAGAGGAAGGTAGGCCGCCCTGGGGATGAGGTCCCACCCTACAATTGTCCTTTGCTAGGAATCCAGGGCTTTCCACCCTGGTGACCTTTTGTACCTGGTCCGTTGTCCTTGTTCTGCTCCTGTCTAACTGCCTATCACATCCCCCCTCCAGGATCTTGGCTCTGAATTCTTTCAGAGAAAAGGGCCACAGGGTCTCTTCCATAACTGCTTCCTGCTGAGAGGGGGTAACATATATCTTCAGAGCCAAGAGAGCAGTGTATCTTGAAGCTAGTTAGTACTCATCCAGAAAATCAGACCTGTCGAGTAAATCTGGAGATAAGAACCGGGGCTTACAAATACTTCTGACAGACTGAAAACGAGAGCTCACATCTCTGTCACTGCCCCTCCCCACCTGAAGCTTCTCCTTCGGGTCCCAAGCTTGGAGATCTGGATTTAACTTATTAGGAAAAGCGGCAGGCACCTCTGCTTTCCCATAGGGCAGGGAACAAGGACAGGCAAGGAAGAGCCCTGGTCATCTCTGCACTCAGGTTATGAGAAAGCCTCAAATGGAAAGGCAAAAACAACACCCCCATTTCTCACTGTGAGTTACCCCCTTGTCTCTGTAAGATACACGGGCGCATTCCCTGCCGGGGTATGTGTGCTAAAGGGGAAAAGCTGTGAGGCAGCCATCCCGAGGACCACAGATGCGAGCTCTCATTTTCAGTCTCTCGGAAGGATTTGTAAGCATGTTTCCTTCATTTCGGTCAATACTATTCCTGACTGTCTCCCACATATCCTCCCTCTGTTCTCATTCTATCTCTTGTACATATGCACACACTTACCTTTTCACCTGTCCCCAGAAATATCGCTCAAAATACCTAATAGGTTAATTAAGTTAGACTTCTAGTCTTTTTTTGGTCTTTTTTAAATATATCTTTATTGATTTCAGAGAGAGGGAAGGAGAGGGAGAGAGGGAAGTAGAAACATCATCGAGCCCACAGCCTGGGCACGTGCCCTGACCGGGAATCGAACCCCGATCGCCTGGATCCTAGGTCGATGCTCAACTGCTGAGCCACGCCCGGCCGGGCAACTTCTAGTCTTTAAGGGTGGCTTTAGAGGAGGTCTCACATCATCCCTGATTATAAAGTTTCCAAGTTTATCTCCATTGAAGTCAGCTCATTTATTTGCTTTAGTTAAAAGTTAGTCTGATGCCATGGGACTCACAGTTCTACTGTCTTTCAACTTTTGGAGCTTCCTGCCCCGTTGGTCACACAGAGAGGAAGCGGTAGGGACTGTCTTGATTTATGGGCACCCACTGAGCTGCAGCTGCTGCCCCCCTCCTGGGGCTTCTGGAGTGCCCTTTCTTGCAGCTGTTCTTGTTCCTGCCATTTCGGTTCTTCTAAATGTCTATTTTCTTGAAGAAGTTACCTTCTTCCCATGACCAGAGTCCAAAGGAATTTCTAAAATCCACTTTTTATTTCTTTGCAGTTTCTTATGTATTATCACACAAAAAACAGTGTTCACCAAAAATATTATTCCCGTTGCCAGATGGAACAGAACATGAAGCCAGACAGAAGTTGATGACTGGGGGCCTGTAAAAGAAAATGACAAAGAGAAGAAATGCTATTCAGAAACCAGAGAGATCTGAGTTATGTTTGTAAGAGAAGGTTGCCTGAGACCTGCTATGCCTGTCCCCTGTGAAGACACCAGTAATGTCAGGGGACAGAAAGGAGCTGGAGGAGGCTCCAGCTGGGCTACAAGGGGTACAGACAAGGGGAAGGCTCTTCATAAGACCTTGACTGCCAGAGCCCTGTCAGCGGACTTACTCCCTAATTTCAGAGACAACCGCTATTTCTATGTAATGCTTGAAATAAATTTGGATTGAAGATAAACTTTTTTCCCCCACAGAGTTTGTGTTCTGGAGCTCACAAACCCTTCACCTCAGCCAGATATAGACATTTGGGCAGGTATTTATGTGCAGTCCACAAAGTCCCCATCTCCTCAATCCACCATGTGAGCCCCTTGAAGTAAGAACTGCAGCCTAGTGTCTTTATATCCCAATACCTATGACAATATTGTTGATTAGATTGTTGGTGAGAGAAGGGGGAGAGAGAGGAAGAAAGAGAAAAGGGAGGGAGAGAGAGAATAGAAAATACAGGAGAAAAAAGAAGGAAGGACAAAAGGAAGGAAATAGAGGAAAGGAAAATAAATGAAAAAGAAAAGAGAAAATTTAATGATGTTTATAAGGAGAATAGTAAAGTTTTGAATCAAGGGTGAAAAGGCCTGTTTATCGGTTTTTTCCTTTCCAGGCCATGAAATCCCCTGGGACAGACCTCAGTCCCACAGGAGACAAGGGAGCATCTTTTGTACCAGTCAGCTCCAATCATTCTCACTCACCAAGCACTTGAAGCTCCAACTCAGGGCTGTGCCTGATGATGTTTCCATCTTCTGTGGCGGCCTCACACCAGTAGGGCCCGGAATCTTCTCTTTTAGCAGTTAGTATCTGGTAGTCAGAGGACGTGTTCCAGCTCAGCAGGGTCTTATTTGCCACGTAGAAGGAGAAGTAGAGCTGCACAGGAGGGCTGTGTGGGAGCACCCTTGTTTCACAGCTCAGGGTGACCGGGTTCCCCTCTAGGAGGGGGGATGAAGGGGATGCTCTCAGCACTGGAACTGGAAATAGCTCTAAAGAAAACATTGACAGTTACCTGATTCAGAGTCAAGGTTCTTTTTGCAGAAGATATACCCCCTCCTCCTCTGGGAACCTGTCCCTAGAGAGTGCATCCATAAAACGTAATTTTTCCCACTTCCAGCAGAGAGGCATTCTTGGGGTTTCCTCACAGATACAGTTACCAGCTTGCTCACACCCTACTGGGAGAGTACTTTACACAGCCCATGCTTCCCTTTGGTATGGGGAACCAGGAGTGGACACACCCACACACTAGCCAGTTCAGTGTCTCATTACTTGTGTTTCTGCCCCAAAAGATAATCTGAGACAATAATTTCTTTCCCATAGGAATTAACTTTTTCAGGCAGAAAAAAAGTGCTGGTGGTTATGAGTACTGAGATCAGAGGCCATTAAAGAGTCACAATAAAAGCCACATGCAACTGGAACAGAGGAAGCTGCTTAGTTAGCAGAGGTTCAAAAAGACGTGGACCCAGAGAGGCCACATTTTCCCTGAGATATAGATGGAAAGTATAAGCAAGTCCTAATGTCTTCCTGGCGTCTGTTTTTATGGAGTTTTCATGAGATTCCATGGCTTATTTTCCAATAACTCTCTCTACCTTGACTGAGTCTCTATTCCTTGCAACTAAAATTAAGTTGATGAAATGGATCCTCACTATGCCCTGGCCTTGACATTAGCTCCTGAGATTATTAAAGGGGCGCTGTGGTATGCTGGAAAGAGTCAAGGACTGGGACCCGGAAGACCTCAATTCTGGACCCCACCCAGCCACTGGTTATCTAGTGGCCTCCAGTAAGGCAGTTTACTTCCCTGGAGTTCAGTTTCTTCATTTGCAAATTAAAGCAATGATTTATGATGGTTTCACTGGTCCTTAAACTATAGCTCTGGGACTATTCAGATACAATACCTTTTACAGTGATAGATACTCTTGCTGACTCGAAGAGACGTTTTCCCTGGCCTGAGCAGTGATAGATGCCACTGTGATTCAGGTTGGTCTTCAGAATGGTGAGTTCAGAATCCCAATAAGAAAACTTAATGCCCTTGTTATTGTGGTAGAAAGCCACATTGCGCACCAGCTTATTCTTCCATCCATGGCATCTCAAGGCCAGAGGCTTCCCTTCAGTGACGACTCTGCTAGAGACCTGGAGTAGTAGCAAATCTAGAAAATGTGAACCCAAAATGTATGCATACAGTGGCAGAGGTACAAAGAAGCCAAAGCTTGCTTTTTCTTCTTGAACATTCTAACCTAGAGCTCTGCTGAATCTGAGGCCTATCTCCCATTCCTGAAATATAGTTTAGCTTTGCTGGGAAGAAGAGTAATCTCTACCAGCAGCCCTGTACACCGCCCTTCTTATCTTCCCTTTCCAGATCTTAGACATTGGTTGGAAAAAAACAGTTTATCATACATGGTAGGCAGTATTCTAAGATGACCTCAATAAATCACACCCTTGTACAATCCCTTTGAGTGTGGGTTGGAAACTATAACTTGCTTCTAGCACCAGAATATGACAAAGATTATGGGATGTCACTCCCATGATGATGTTACATTATATAGGACTCTGTCTCAGCTGTCTGGACTGAGAGACTCTTCCAGCAGTTTTTCCAACCACAAGGAACTGAATTCTGACAATTAATAGACTTAATTTCATGGACCTTAGAGAAAATTCACATACTTCCCAAACACACATGCCACAGTTATACAAACTGAGCACATACCAGACTACAAAGCAATTTTTAACAAATACCAGGGAACTGATATCATATTTAACACAAATTCTGACCAAAATGCCATAAAAGTAGAAATAAATAACAAAAAACCACCCTCTGAAAACACTTCTAAATAAGTCATGAGTAAAAGAAAGAGAGAAAGAAAGTTATAAATGAAATTTAAAATATTTAGCCTTAAAAGATAACAAGAGTATTACATATCAAAAACTGAGGGATACAGCTTTTAGCACACATTAATTTTCTACTCAAAAACCTTTCTCCCCATGTTTATCACTTTGGAGTAGGATGGGGACACTCATTTTAAACTACATGATTATGACTCAGGTCCATGAACCAGTTGTTTTCTCTTGGAAATCCTTAGCTAAAACACATTTCCTCCAAAGGCAGTCTAGTCCACATAAATCTAATTCTGCCTTCAGCATGGATTCACTTTTTCATTATCAATTACACAAAAGTTTTAACTTAATGCTTTTGAATAACTAAATAACCCATCTGAGTGATTTGTCCTGAATAATGAAACATTTGTTCCTAGAGAGTATTGCAGTATCCATCTCTTGACAAGTAGAAACCTTACAAGTGTAAGTGGATGGTAGGGTTTTATCTGCTTCTATTCATCAAAGTTTCAAATGCTTACAGTAAAAAAATTAAATGAAATGCTTAAAGTCTAGCAGTAATTCCATGTCCAGGATATTATCTTACAGATACACTATGAAATGTGCCCCAGATGATATGTATAAAGACGTCTACTGCAGCATTGCTTGTAAAAGCAAATAACAGAAACACACTAAAAGCTTAGGGAGGAATGGTTAAATCAATTCTAGCACAGCAGTATGGCAACATTTGAAAAGATGAGGTGGATCTCTATTAATATAAACAGACCTTCACAGCATTTTAAGTGATAAAAGTAAGGTGTAGGATAGTAAATAGAGTATCCTCTATAATACTAGTATCCTTTAAAGTAAGTAATTTTAAACTTATTAAGTTTGGGTTTTTTTGTTTGTTTGTTTGTTTAATATCTCCTTATTGATTTCAGAGAGAGGAAGGGAAAGGGAGAGAGAGAGAGAAACATCAATGATGAGAGTCATTGATCGGCTGCCTCCTGCACACCCCCTGCTGGGGATCGAGCCCGAAAGCCGGGCATGTGTCCTGACCGGGAATCGAACCTCGATCTCCTGGGTCCTAGGTCGATGCTCAACCGCTGAGGCACACCGGCCGGGCTATGTTATTAAGTTTTGTTTCTGTGGAAGCTGACTGAGAGACTAGGAGTTTGGGCTGGGAGGGAGACTTTACTGTTCATCATTGCACATTTTTCCAAATTAGTATTATCTACTATGGGCAGGTATAACTTTTTTTTAAGAAAACTAGATAATTTTGAATAATGACAAAAGCTTAGGGTCTGAGTTTTACTCTAGATACCCTACGCACACCTGTCCCAGTAGGGGTGCTTTGGGGGCACAGTTTAAGGACTCTAATGTGATCTTTTGATTATTTTGACTTTATCACACCTGCTTGGCACATAGAGCTGAGACTCATACTCAGATAAATCAACACTATCACACACACACACACACCTGACATCCAGAAAGGAGAAAACACAAAGGAAGACTTTGTGATTTCCAGCCCTCCTGCTCCATGCCATACTTACCACTGTGGACTTCCAGCTGTACTGGGTCACTTGGAATTGAGAGGCCTCTTTGACACTTGTATTCGCCAATGTCATTGGCACTGGCAGCAGTGATGTTGTAGCTCGCTGTCGAGGTCTGAATGGCTGTGCCATTGAGAAACCACTGCGTAGAGTTGTCCCAAGGCAGGTGGGGTCCCTCACACCATAAGGTTACACTTTCCATTGTGAACACACTGACCCATGGAGGCTGCAAGGTGATCACTGACTTTGCAAGGTTTGCTTGGGGGAAAACAAAAACAAGTGGAGTAAAAGGAAAGGCTCTGAACAACTGGTGAAGTTTTGTGGATAGCACAAGGAAAACACTGTACATTTTAGATTAGATTGAAAAACAGGCAAGTGAGAACCTGCAAGAGCTACCTATTAAGAATGTCCACACCCGACTGCAGAGAGCTCTGTTCATGTTATTAAATCTGGGTGTTGCAGATTTCGGGTTCTCGAGAATTAAATGACCAATTTAGTTCTCACTGTTGGTAAACAATGAAGCAGGGTTTTAAACTGGTGCCACTAGATTAAAGCCGATTTGCCATATCTCTGAGGGTTCATCTCAAGCCTTAATTAGCATCTGTATCGGAAATCAAGGTTCAAACTTCTCACTTGGAAGCCTCCATTGCCTGCTAACTTCAGCTTTCTTGTAAAAGTGACTAGTTTGAGGGATATTAGAAAACCCAGAATTACTTCTATATGTTTGCAATTCTGGCCCTTTCCTGCTATCTAGGCATTTAGTCCAGAGGTCAGAGCTCATTTAGAAAATCTTAGAGAGAGACCTTAAAAACCAGGATTTTATCAAAATCATACTCTACATATAAGAGGACTTCATATAACTTATAAATCTTTCTCCTTTCTATCTTCTCCCCCATACTCTCTTCTTTAGGAAAATGAAACCTATCTTTTGGGAACAGGGATGTGCCAGAGGAAGAGAAGTTGAGTTAGACATTACTCACATATTTGCCCATCAGCTGGAACTGCAAGAGACCAACAATAGAGACGTCATCAGTTCATCGGTGGAAAACGACAAGTAAGAAAGAATTAGGGAGACAGAATTAGGGAGACAGAGATTCTGCTGAGGGATCTGGAGCCAAGATTAGGAAAGAGGAAGGAAATTGTCTCTTCTGACCATTTTCATATGTTTGTTTTCTGGGAAATGCATCCAGAATTTTTGAAGCAGGCTCTCTCTTTTCTCCCCTAATTAGAAACTCTGGGTTTGAGGCTTATCTAAGAATAGACTCTAAGGGCCCAGCCTAGGTCTCTAGTTTTTCTTTACCTCCTTTCCCATTGGTACTGAACAGCCTACAGGGGTTACTGATGGGGCTTTATTTTGACATGATGCTTCCAGGCTTAATGTTACCTCAGAGTCACTCTTCCCATCTTTTGATATAATAAACACCAATAAACCACGAAAGCACAGATACAGTCATCTCCCTATTCATGAGTTCTAGCTAGGATACTAAAGTTAAAAAGATCCTGAGTTTCCTGAGCCAGTGCCTGCACCCTTCTAGTTACCCTCTCTAAGCCCAACTTACCCCAAAGGAGCAGAGCTGTTAAGAGCCACATGTTATCTCCAGCGCCACAGGAGCAGTGAACTCTGTAACGTGCAAGACATTGAAGAGATTCTGCTGAGGGATCTGGAGCCAAGATTAGAAAAGAGGAAGGAAATTGTCTCTTCTGACCATTTTCATATGTTTGTTTTCTGGGAAATGCATCCAGAATTTTTGAAGCAGGCTCTCTCTTTTCTCCCCTAGTTAGAAACTCTGGGTTTGGGGCTTATTTAAGAATTCAAGGGAGGGGCTAATGTTTTATTGACATTCTATTCTGATTATGTTCTCCCTCTACTAATTATGTTACTTGGGGCTAGAATATGGCAAATCCCCATTTTTAAAATTGGTTCAAAGCCTGGCTAATCCCTCCAAAACTTGATCAATTGAAAACAGATTATTCTGCATCAGCCTCTATGGGATATGTGAGGAGTTACTCATCTCTAAGAGCTCCTCTGATACAAACTAGCCTCTGTTCCTCTGGCAATGCATGCAAGATCAATTTCCCACTTTTGTTTAAAAAACAAAAAGCCATCTTCCTGAAAGACATTGTGAATTTGGGGTGTTTATCTCGGCTAAGCCCAAGGAAATTAAGTATTTAATGTAAATGCTGAAGAGAAGAAAAAATAGCTGATATATGTAAGTGGAAATATCTGTAAGAAGGGAGTTTCAGAGTATAGATGGGAAGCTCTATGGCACAAAAGTGAGTTGGTTCCTGACACAGAGTTGTTAAAACATAAAGAAATTTTTTAGGGATTTTGTTAAGAGAGAAAGAAAGTGAAACAGAAACCAGGATGAGTTCAGTGAGAGTAAAAGGGACTTAGGTAGCAATCTCACTGAGAGAATTAAAAATGACAACAAATAATGTTGTAGATTGAATTGATGGCCCCAACATCTCTACACTATCTTGAATCTACGCTATGTGCACAGCCTCCTGAGAGGCGGAAGGTACANAGCCCCAATTTCTCACCCCACTTTGAATCTACACTATGTGCACAGCCTCACATAGGCTCAGGGTACTTCGTTTATTTCTCACATGAAAACTGCAGGACAGCCTGGGCGGCGGATGGCTCGGCCAGCTCTGCCTCACACGTAGCTGGCTAGCCAGTGTTCTTCTCATGACAACTGTGGAAGCACAAGGAGTGCAAGATAATGTGTAAGGCTTCCTAAGGTCTAGGTTGGACTCTGCAAAATGCTGTTTCCACCCATATTTTATTGGCCAATGAAAGTCACATGGATGAACCAAAGCCTAGGGTCAGGGAAGGTGTGTACCTTCCGCCTCTCAGGAGGCTGTGCACATAGCGTAGATTCAAGATAGTGTAGAGATGTTGGGGCCATCAATTCAATCTACAACATTATTTGTTGTCATTTTTAATTCTCTCAGTGAGATTGCTACCTAAGTCCCTTTTACTCTCACTGAACTCATCCTGGTTTCTGTTTCACTTTCTTTCTCTCTTAACAAAATCCCTAAAAAATTTCTTTATGTTTTAACAACTCTGTGTCAGGAACCAACTCACTTTTGTGCCATAGAGCTTCCCATCTATACTCTGAAACTCCCTTCTTACAGATATTTCCACTTACATATATCAGCTATTTTTTCTTCTCTTCAGCATTTACATTAAATACTTAATTTCCTTGGGCTTAGCCGAGATAAACACCCCAAATTCACAATGTCTTTCAGGAAGATGGCTTTTTGTTTTTTAAACAAAAGTGGGAAATTGATCTTGCATGCATTGCCAGAGGAACAGAGGCTAGTTTGTATCAGAGGAGCTCTTAGAGATGAGTAACTCCTCACATATCCCATAGAGGCTGATGCAGAATAATCTGTTTTCAATTGATCAAGTTTTGGAGGGATTAGCCAGGCTTTGAACCAATTTTAAAAATGGGGATTTGCCATATTCTAGCCCCAAGTAACATAATTAGTAGAGGGAGAACATAATCAGAATAGAATGTCAATAAAACATTAGCCCCTCCCTTGAATTCTTAGATTTTCATAAGCCTCAAACCCAGAGTTTCTAACTAGGGGAGAAAAGAGAGAGCCTGCTTCAAAAATTCTGGATGCATTTCAAAAATTCTGGATGCATTTCCCAGAAAACTAAACATGATGAAAATGGTCAGAAGAGACAATTTCCTTCCTCTTTTCTAACCTTGGCTCCAGATCCCTCAGCAGAATCTCTTCAATATCTTGCATGTTACAGAGTTCACACTGCTCCTGTGGCATTGGAGATAACATGTGACTCCTAACAGCTCTGCTCCTTTGGGGTAAGCTGGGCTTAGAGAGGGTAACTAGAAGGGTGCAGGCACTGGCTCAGGAAACTCAGGATCTTTTTAACTTTAGTATCCTAGCTAGAACTCATGAATAGGGAGATGACTGTATCTGTGCTTTCNTAATTTCCTTGGGCTTAGCCGAGATAAACACCCCAAATTCACAATGTCTTTCAGGAAGATGGCTTTTTGTTTTTTAAACAAAAGTGGGAAATTGATCTTGCATGCATTGCCAGAGGAACAGAGGCTAGTTTGTATCAGAGGAGCTCTTAGAGATGAGTAACTCCTCACATATCCCATAGAGGCTGATGCAGAATAATCTGTTTTCAATTGATCAAGTTTTGGAGGGATTAGCCAGGCTTTGAACCAATTTTAAAAATGGGGATTTGCCATATTCTAGCCCCAAGTAACATAATTAGTAGAGGGAGAACATAATCAGAATAGAATGTCAATAAAACATTAGCCCCTCCCTTGAATTCTTAGATTTTCATAAGCCTCAAACCCAGAGTTTCTAACTAGGGGAGAAAAGAGAGAGCCTGCTTCAAAAATTCTGGATGCATTTCAAAAATTCTGGATGCATTTCCCAGAAAACTAAACATGATGAAAATGGTCAGAAGAGACAATTTCCTTCCTCTTTTCTAACCTTGGCTCCAGATCCCTCAGCAGAATCTCTTCAATATCTTGCATGTTACAGAGTTCACACTGCTCCTGTGGCATTGGAGATAACATGTGACTCCTAACAGCTCTGCTCCTTTGGGGTAAGCTGGGCTTAGAGAGGGTAACTAGAAGGGTGCAGGCACTGGCTCAGGAAACTCAGGATCTTTTTAACTTTAGTATCCTAGCTAGAACTCATGAATAGGGAGATGACTGTATCTGTGCTTTCATGGTTTATTGGTGTTTTATTATATCAAAAGTCTTAAATCTATCTGTAAATAATATCAATGTGGTATGAGGCAGGATCCAATTTCTTTTTTAACTTACATATAGCCAATTGTCCCAGCACCATTAAAAAGCGTAAATCATTCCTAACATGAACTGTCAATTCTATCATAAACTAAGTTTTCTTATATATGTGGTTCTCTTCCTAGTGTCTATGCTGTTTCACTTGCAATTTTCTTATCCTTGTGCCAATACCATACTGTCTTAATACTATAGCATGTTGACCCTAGAGAAAGAATATACCTGTCAAAAAGGACTTGTTAACTGGGCCCAAATTTATAATCAGAGGCTAGCAGCCCACTGTTTGCAGAGGTCCTCTTCAGGGAAAAGACAAAGACTGGACTGCCAAGCCTCATGCACTTTCTGCAGTCTGAGCAGAACTTTATCAAAGAGTCTCTGAAATCATAATTTAAACAAGGGGCTGAGACCTTCCCAGTCCAATCAGAGCTGCACATCTATATCCTTATTTGCACCGTTAGTGACCAATCAGAGTAGCTCCATAAGAACCACTCAGGACACCTGATTCTGACTAATCAGGACAGTGTTGTTTGAACCAATCAAATTATGGAAATTTGGATCCATTATTTGCATAAAAATGGAGCAATCTGGGACTAGGGTGGGCACTTTATATAACTGAGCCTCCTTGTTGTCTAAGGGGAGGTACTAAGTTTCCACCAGAGGCTACTGCCTCCTGGGTTTGCAAACTATTTACCTGAATAAAGTCTCTGCTTTTACTGCACCCTAAGTTGGGAAGTCCTGTTGGCATTGAGTTGGTGGCAGTGACCTTTTGTTGACAGGCTTTATAGGACATCTTAACATATGATAGTTGCATGTCTCCCTAACTTATCCTTCAATATTCTGAGGAATTGATAAATAACGGTGGCGATATTTTCTTGTAATAACCAATGACAAGAGGCATATGGAGCGCTGGTAAGGAAATGCTGCTGTAAGTAAAATGGACAGTTTGAAGAGCATTTTACAATGCAATACCAGTTCAGCTGGAAGCTTCCACTCCTGATTCAGCTAATGCTCCTGCCTACAGTTCCTCCAGCACAGTCCAGACAATAGGTAACCTTCACTCTGTGATCAAGGTTCGTGGGAATCAGACCAATTTTTCTGAACTTTGAAAAGCTCTCAGCTCACAGAACTACTAGGGGTGGGTAGCTGCGGATTGATGGACTCAGCAATACTTTGTCATGGGAGAAAGTTATTTGAATGAAAATCTTATGCTTCTGGAAATCATAAGCAGCACATAGTGGTCTTAATCCTTGAAAATGTCTGCACAACGACTTTGTTTTTTAGGGTTGTATCCAATCCACATGGGTAAGGCTGACTCTTACGAGGAGTGTACGCATTTCTTGCCACCACAACTTAGTTTCTCTTCCCCCACACTGCCTCTAGGTTAATTCTTAGCAGGAAGTGAAACAAAACTTACTGGAAAGGCAGAGCACAGGAACTTGAGTAGATTCACCCAGCTAAGCAAGGCTGGATCAAGTCAGCAGTTTACCAACAGAAGCAGCGCCCACAGCAGGAGCCCCGGGGGAGGTCCCTGCGGCCGGGGGACACCGGGAGGCGCTGAGACGAAGGCGCCTGCGCGGAAAGAGCGCCACGGAGCGGGCCGGGGGCGGAGCGGTTCCTACGGTTTCTGGGTCCGTTCGAGGCGCCTGTCGTTGGTGAANCCCGGCCCCCGGCCCCGCAGGAAGGGCCCGCGCGGGCGGGTCCGCAGCCTGGGAGCGGCGGCGAGGGGCGCCTGGGGCTCAGACACGTTATTCGTAACCCCGCAATGACAGGCGCGGTTTAATTTGAAAAGCATAAGGAAAGTGTCCAAGAGATACTCTTCCAAACAAACGAGGATTTTTGGACTCCCGGGACCTGTTTTCGGTGATGATGGAGAGAGTTTGGGAAGAAAGAAGAACTGCAAAGGTTTGGTTTGGTTTTGGCTTTTTAAGAATAACAAAGGCGTCCCTGGGTGGGCTCGAACCACCAACCTTTCGGTTAACAGCCGAACGCGCTAACCGATTGCGCCACAGAGACGCGCCCGGCCGAGCTCTCGAGGCGGCCGAGAGCCGGCGCTCACTCGCCGCTCGGTGGAGCCTTCGGGGCGCCGCGGGACGGACGGCCGCGCGGACTCCACGGCCCCGGAAAGCCCGGGAGGCGGGGTCTGNCGCCACAGAGACTCACGGGAACCGGGCCCTCAAGGCGGCACAGAGCAGGCTCCCAGGCACCGCTAGGTGGAGCCACCCCTGTTGCTGGGCAGACGGCCCTGCAAACTCCCAAACCTCGGAAAATGTGAGCGCTGGAGGCCACCCTGCGGGTTGGTGGCCCGGCGTTGCTCCACTTCCGCCTCAGATGCCAGCGCCCCAGGGACGCCGGGGGGGCCGGAGCCCGAGCTGGAGCCGGAGCCGGAACCC